GCAGCCTCGTGGGAGCCTCGAGGCAGAGTGCCAGCTAAGCCAGCACCTGGACTCCTGCCCACAGGAACCTGTGCGAACGGTTAAAGGCCTTTGTGGCTCCAAAAGCGCCACGCGTATTTGGGGAAATTTTGTTCACACCAGGCATAGATACACCAGTGCAGGTTGATCAGCGACCTCCCCTCGAGCTCTGACCCTGATTAGCTGGGTGTAAACTGAGGTTACAAAAAATGGCTTGTTCTTCTATGCGGCGGAGGCCGGCCGCCAGGAGCAGACCTGTTGGAGAATAACCCTCCGCGTCGCGCGCACACTCCTCAGGCCTCTCCAGTGACGTGCCAGCCTGAGCCAGCTCAGCACCATAGGTCCTCCCGCTCCCCCTTGGGCGGTGCCATTCCCGCCACCTTCGCCCTCTCCCGCTGCTCTTGCCCTCCTCCGCCTCCTGGAGACCCCACTAACTCCGCCGGGCTTAAGGGCACCTCGGCTTGCCACTTTCCCCCACTCAAGCTCAGACAGAGGCCAGGCGAGGATGATTGATGACACAAGAATGAAGACGGAAGGTTACGGTGACCCCTACCAGGAACTGAACGGGGAGTGTTGCAACGGGACCCCACAGTGACCGCTATGCCACTCCCCCTCCACGGATGACAGGCTGGTGAGCATCGAGTTTAGGTGCCACGGCTTAGGGCGGGAGAGCAGGGACTCTAACGCACGCCTGCGGCAGGCGCAAGCCCAGGTCTGCTCTGCAGCCCAGTCTGGGTGTGCCCCGGGGGTCCCACCCCGCAACTCTGCTACAGAACATGCCATCCTCGGGTCATCACCAATCGGCCCTGGCCCCTTCCTCAGCACCAGTGGCCCCCGACCCAGTGCTCGACTCACTCAGGCAGGCGGGAGTGCCAGCCAAGCACGGGCGCCACGCGCCAGTCGCCAGCCCCGCCTCCTGAGCCCCACGCTCCGCCTTCCTGCATGCGCCATTCCGCCGCCGCCCACAGGCCCAGCGCAGCCCTGCAGCTCCGGACCCCAGGCCCAGCGGGCGCCAGCCTCTCTCCGGGCTGCTTGGGCGTGCCCAAGTGGCTCCAACTGAAGGAGGACGCTGGGGAAAACAGAGTGTCCACCCTGAGGATGGGCACTGCCGCCCAGGCCAGCCCAGCCCTCCTCTCCCCTCCCCTCAGCAGCAGGATGGGGCGCAGGGTGAACTACTTTCCTCGGATTCCGTCATGGGGGATGGTGCATTGCTGGGGACTGCAGGGTCCAACAACCGCTCCTGGAGGGTCACATGCCAAGTCGGTGGGATTAGGATGGGACCCAGGCCGCCAATGACCAGTCCTGAGCTCCAGCACTACCATAAACATTGCTATGACCAGTGCTTGCTGCATGCCACGCACTGTGCTGGGGATCGTCTGTGCCCCCACATTGCTGATGTCCATCGCAGTGGTGCTTATTACCCCCATTTATTTTATTTATTTTATTTTATTTTATTTTATTTTATTTTATTTTTATTTTATTTTATTTGAGACAGAGTCTCACTTTTGTTGCCCCGGTGAGTGCCGTGGTGTCAGCTTAGTCACAGCAACCTCAAACTCTGGCTCAAGCATCCTCCTGCCTCAGCCTCCCAAGTAGCTTGGATACTACAGGCGCACCACCAGCTAATTTTATACACACACCACACACCACACACACACACACACATATATATATATATAGTTGGCCAACTTAATTTCTTTCTTTTATAGTAGAGACGGGGTCCTGCTCTTGCTCAGGCTGGTTTCGAACTCCTGATCTTGAGCAATCTTCCCGCCTCAGCCTCCCAGAGTGCTAGGATTACAGGCGTGAGCCACTGAGCACGGCGGCCCCCCATTTTACAGACAGAGAAACAGAGGCCAGAGAACGTTAAGTTGACTTGCCCAAGACCACCAAGCCAGTGAGGGGGCAAAGCTGGGATTAGAACCCAGGCAGGCCCACACTACAAATTGTGCTAGGGACGGATACATGAATGAACCACAGTGTGAAATCTCCGGAGAAGCCTGACCCTCGCAGAGTGCTCACCCCCGCCCCTCCGGAGGACAGGAGGAGTGGAGGTCTAGGGGCCAATGTGACGAGGGTGTGAGAGGGGATCCCCCACCCGGATGGGACGCAGACCCGAGGGCCGCTGCTGTGCAGGCCGAGGATTGCTGGGAGAGATGGCCAGGGCCCGAAGTCCACAGAGCAGTGGGCAGCACGGCTCACCCGACCTGGGGTGGGGGTCCCTACCGCCGCTGGAGGGTGTGCTCGCCTCCCACCGCACTGCGGCCCAGACTGCCAGGCCAGCACCTGCCGAAGCCGAAAGCCACAGCCCCTGCTGCTGCCCAGCGGCACGGACAGCTCACCGGAGGGTCTCCAGGAGCCAGGGAAAGACGCTGGGGGGCCCTGGGGTCTCAGGATCCCTGTCCCCAGCCCCGTCGCCATCCTCCTCCACCACCTGGCCCTCACTTCTCCAGTGAGCTGCAGGGTGTGCTGCGGCCCAGCGCAGGCCAGTCCCTCCAGCACGCTCCCGTTGGGCTCCAGGGCCACGGCCATCCTGCACAGCCCTGACGGGGGTGCCCGGCCCACGCCGCAAGCGCCACCGCCTCAGCACGCCTGATCACCGGCGCCGCACGCTCTGGAAGAAGGAGCTGCGGAAGATGCAGAGTCCCTGGGTCCCAGACTCGAGGCCAGAGAGCGAGGCCACCCACCTGCCGCTGGAGAGCCGGGCCGCAAGGGGTGCTCGCCGTGGGCCAGCGCTGCTGCTGGCGCTCCGCACCGCGCGCCCACTGGCATCGCTGAATCCATGGGGCGCCGACATATCAATGCCCCCGGGGGCACCCGAGGATTCCGACTTCACGGTCTGGGCTTCTGGACTTTCAGGAGGCCCTGGTGACTCTGACGAGCACCAAGGCTGGCCGAGGCTCTGCCCCGTCACTGGCTGGTCCTCGCCACACTCCCGGCGTGGTGGGGGCCACGCAGCTGACCGGTGGGGCAGAACCAGGCCCAGGGACCCCGACTCCGGACCCACAGTGCCAACCACACCGTACTTCTGCCTCCTGTTATAAAGATCAGAAAACGGGGCCTGGGGAAGGTTATCTCCCAGATCCAAACAGAGCAGACCTGGGGTGGACTCGTTCTCAGACTAGCAGGGCAGCCCGGGTGCACTGCAGGAGACAACCCCGTTCCTTCAGTGCACTTGCAGGAGACACCCCCGTGCCCTGAGGCCTGAAGGCCGGAGGCTGGACCAGGGGAAGGAGGCTGTGCTTCTGAAGGTCATACTGAACTGGGTTCTCCTTGGAGTTCTAGGGAAGTGCACTGAAAGACTGGAGGTCCCAGTGGACCAAGTGGCTGTGGGGATCATGGATGCCAGGTGTTGTGGTTTTCAAGTGACGAATTCTTTATATAATATGTATATATATATTTTTTAATATTCAGCATATTATGGGGGTAAAGTGTTAAAGGTTACGTGTATTGCCCATGCCCCCCTCCCTCAAGTCAGCGCTTCAAGCGTGACCATCCCCAACGTTGCACATCTCACTCATTGTGTTTGTCATACCTCCCCTCCTCCCAAGGACAGAATTTTAACCTGACCGGCCCACTGGCTTCCGTTCCTCCTGACATTGCCACTCGGGGGAGCACACCCACTCCCCCTGAGCCCACCCTGCCCTCACCACAGCCTCGCCTGGCTCTGACCCCAGCAATGACCGTTCTGGCAAAGGCAGCACCAAGGAAAAGTCTTTGACATCTCTCGCAACAAAGCGAGACTTGTCTCAAAAAAACCCAAAAAACAATAGCAATGTTTTGTCCAAGATTTTTTTTTATATTAGAAAAGTGAAATATGCCCATTACAGATAAATCAGAAAGTATAAAGGGGGAAAAAACCCCAAATTTCTTTTATAACTTGCTCCACCCAAAGGTAACTGTCAGTCCCTCCCCACACCAGAAGCGGTTAGCTCCAACACCGCAGAGGGTGGTGGAAAAGTCGATGGCCTGGCAGGAGGAAGAGGCCACGAAAGTCAGGCACGAATGATGCTGCACCGCAGTCCAAGGACGTGGCAGTGAGGGACACAGCCCGAGATCCCCGCAGGCGAGACAGTGTTCCTAAGATCAATTGGCATCATCACAAATCCTATTCAGAATGCCAGAAAGAATATAATCGATTTGAGAAAGAGTCCAAGAAAAAAAAGTTATGACGGTTTTTGTTTTATAAAATGGAATTGAAAGACCCCAGCTTTGGCCAAGTGCAGAACCACATACGTGGGGCTGCGGCAACAGCGGATTCTGGGGCCTCAGGGTGTTTGATTTCTAGGTATGTGTTACCGGGCGATCTTTTTTCAAAGCACTTTTATACTTTCATTCCATTCCTGTCAGCAGAGACAAAGATCCCACACACTGATGGAGAAACTGAGGCTTCTAGAAACTGAATGCGGGGCAAGGTACCCAGGGGCTTGATTCCCCTCCTTTCTGCCGCAGTGCGCACATGCTCAGGCGGCCTCACCTGCTGACACTTGCAGGCATCAGGCCATCTTGTGGTGACAGAGTCCCCTTGGAGAGCCCCTTCTCTGTGTAGAGTACCGGCCGGGGGCTTGGACTCCAGAGTCAGACCACTTCCGGGAGGTCAGGCCTCCGACAGGCAATTCAACTTTGTGAAGTCCAGGCGGGGAGAGTCCCCAGGCTGCACCCGGCACAGGGAAGCTCTCGCCGAGTGGTAGCTATTATTGGCCACTGTCTGCTTGAATGTCTTCAGACACACAGGGCGACGGGCAGAGGCAGTGGTGTGTCCCACTGGCCACCCTATTCTTGGGCACCTTCTCCGTCTCCTGCAGGAGGCTTGGGGACCATGGGGGACACGAGGCAATGTGGACCATCCCATTTGTGCACACACAAGTAGGAGGCCCTGCTAACAGGCGCAGGGCAGGAAAGGACAACCCCCACCCCCTGGCCGGGCCCCAGGAGGCCCAAGCCTGCTGTGTTCAGGTTTTCCTCTCTGGCTGTTCCCTCAGACCCGCAGCTGCTGGACACAGGCCAGAGGGCCAGTGCTGTCCAGGCCAACACTGCAGCACAGCCTCAGTGGACCGAGGACGCAGAGGGAAACGCCCTGGGCTCAGAGTAAGGAGACCTTGCCTCGGGTGACAAGTGCAGGGGTGAGGTGTCACCAGCCCTCAGGGGTCTAGAGTGAGCCCCTTGGCAAATTGGTCTTACACATATTGACCGTTTCCCCCACCCATTTCCTCTGAAACAGCTGTTTTGAGAAAACACTTGGTTTTCCTGTCCCACCCTGCTAGTTCTGTTTGGGCAGCAGCCTGGAGCCATGGGAGGCTCAGATGTGGCGGGGGGGGGGCGCCATGCTTGGCGCTACACCTTTGTGGACCCTCTTCGTTGCTCTCAGCTTCTGGGTACATGCCAAGGCGCAAGCTGCCTTGCTGGACCAGTGTGTTAACTGTGTGTTAACTGTCTCCACTCCCCTCTCCAGGCTGGCTGCAGGGGCCCGACTGCTGTAGCTTGGCCCCAGGCCTGCCCCCAATGAGACCAGGAGGGCACCACAGCCCCGAACCCAGGGCCCTTCAAAGCCAAGGTTGGGCCCATAAAAGGAGGCTGGGGTAAGAGCAGCTGTGTATGGGCAGGCGGTGGGGCGAGGGCTGAGCCACGGCCCAAGCTGGGCCCTTCCTGGCCAGTGCCCACAGCTGCGGGGTCCTGGAGGAGCCAGCCCAGGCCCGGGGCTCTGCCCTTTTTCCTGGCCATGAAGGCTCTTGATGCTCTCTGCCATTAGGAGGAAGTATCTGCAGCGCTGGCGCCTTGAGGCACTGCTTCGCCAGTTGCAGGGCTCCCAGACGGCCCGGCACCTGGCTGTGATGTGGCAGCGCTGGGTGGATGCTCAAGGGTCGGAGCAGCTGGCACGGACCCTGGTGAGTTCTAAGGAGGCTCATAGGCCCTGGGCACACCTCCTGTTTCATCCCATCCTCAACCCTCACCCCTAGAAACAGTGTCCCTCCAAGTATGGTCTTTGGACCTACTGAGTCTGAAGCCTTGGGGGACGGGCCCAGGAATCCACATTGTTAACACTCAGATGACAGCCCCCTTGTCACAGCCCTTTCACCCTGGTGCCACAGGCGTGCAGAAGCAGCAGCAGGGCTGGGGGCTGCTAGGGAGTGTGGGTGCGGGAGGCCTTCTCTGCCAACTGTCCCCACAGCTCAGGGAGTGGCACCTGAGAAGGGCCTGGCGGACGTGGCGGCAGCGGATCCTGAGACTGCGGGTGGCTCAACGGTTACAGCAGCAAGAAGACAGCTGGGTCCTTTCCCAGGTACCGGCACCTCCCCTCCCTGCTTTACCCAGCAACTCTTCCAAAACCAGTGACACATATGGACATTGCTGAGCTGGGGGTCTTCCCGCTCGCCATGCCCAGGGCCCCTTTGTTTTCAGGGAAGGGGGGGGGTGTCAGTCAGTTCCAGAACACACTGCCTGGATGTTGGAGCCCTGATTGACTCAGCCACAAGCTCAGCCCAGTGCCACCCGTGCACCCAGTCCGGGAACGAGGCTTGGCCTGGAGTGCAGCTGCTGCTCACACTGGCCCACGTAGGGTCTGGGTCCCTGAGCACCCATTACGCATTTGTTCCACTCTGAGCACAGCTTCCCGGATCATACGTCAGATCTGTTCTGCCTGTGCACTTGGCCCGGGGCAGCGCTGGCTGGTTGCTTGGGGCAGAGGGGTCTAGGGAACAGGAGGAGCTGGGCACAGGGGTTGCTCTCAGCAGGCACAGCACAGCCCCTGGAGGGAGCTGAGACAAGCAGCCTTTCCTCCCGTCCAATTCCAGGCCTTTAAGAAGTGGCATCAGCGCCTGGCAACCAGGAGCCCAAGGAGAGGAGCCGCCAGCAGCCCAACACTCCTGAGCAAGCCAGGCACCTGGAGCCCCTGGAGCAGGGAAGCTCCCGAGTTCCCAGGGGTGGAGGGCTTGGGGGCCCAGCTGCAGCTGTAACTTGTTCCAGTAGAATAAAAAGCACAACTAGGTGGAAAAAAAAAGAAAGAGAAAGAGAGAGAGAAAAAGAAAGAAAAAGGGGGGAAATTTTTTTAAAAAGGAAGTAAGAAAGAAACAAAAAACAAGGAAAAAATAAAAAATTAAAAAAGCAGAAGTGAGCCCGGCCTTTCCAGAAAAGCAACTGTGCGCCACACGCCCACGGAGAACAGCGATGGACGGACAGCTCAAGGGGCTCTGAAGGACAACAAAGTGCCCTCCGCAGTCCCAGCAGCTTCTCTTGCTCAGTCTCTCTCGGAAAGGCTGCCCTTCTGCCCAGCCAGCGGGCCAGAAAGGGAGCAAAGAGGGAGCCCCGAGACTGTGCCCACCTCCTCTGCCATCAGGCTGCTCTGAGACGCCCCGCCCCCACCCTGGCTGCAGTCCTCTTTTCTGCTGAACCAGTGACCCAGGACAGGGGACAGCCCATCTGCACCTGCCAGTCACTGCCCCAGGGAGCAGTGCCAGCAGACAGCTTCTGAGCGGAGGGGAGGGCAGCGGGCGGTTAGCAGCCTACCTAGCAAATAAGCCAGAAGCTTATTTGCTGCCGCATGGCCCCACGCAGAGCTAGGGCCTCTGCTGAGGTGAACCTCATCTTTGCCTTTGACAGTGAGTGGGCAGATGATGCCTCCATGGCCAGGGGAAGGAAGGGAAGGCTGGGGCTGCCACCAAGCTTAAGGGGTCGGACTGCTTTAACCCTTAAAGGGGCACTTTTTCTCTCGAGCCATTAGAACACAGAGACAACTATTCCAAAAAGCAGCATTGCAGAAAGGGGAGGAGCCCCGCCGAGCTCTCAGGGAGGAGATGGCGAGAGAAGCTTGCATTGTTAGGTGTCAGCCCAAGCCCATCCAGGGGCCTGGTGCTGTGGACGGCCAAGTACTAGGGGGCAGTGTGTGCCCCTTCAGTTACAAGTAGGTGGGGCCTGGTTGCCAACGTCTAGGACAAGATTAGGTGCAGCACCTTCCCTTTGCCACGTCTTCTACAATGCCACCATGGCCCGTTGCCCATGTGCGCTTTGCCTGTATCACATGGGCCCCCGGTGCAAGTTCCCTGGGAGTACCAGGCTGGCTCCTAGAGGCTGCCTTGGTTCAAGGGCTCAGTTGGCCACAGCCAGTCTCCCTCCTTGTCAGGGAGGGTGGTGTGCCCCCGACTGGTCCTCTGCAGGGTGCGCCCACCAACAGAGCACACCCTCGCGGCCAGTGCAGGGAGCACCTGGCTCCCGTGTGGGGCCGACTGAGGTCCAGCCAGAGCCTGGGAGCCTCACGCTAGTCCAGCTGCCATCAGAGAGCCTGGCAGTGCAGGCCAGGGCTCGGGAGGAACAAAGGAGAGAAGGGTTCCCGGGAGAACCAGGACTGGGAAGGAGGAAGGTGGGACACAAGTGCCCCCAGCTCGGGGTATCGGGACTCAGGGTCAAGGAGCCTCTGCCTCCCTCTCACTCTGGGTGGGCCTGTTGAGAAGCTCAAGTGCATCTTCCACCACCTGCCACAGGCAGTTGTCCAGCGGGAACTCGTTGTCCACCAGGTTGACCAGGAAGTAGTTGTCGTGGATGTACTGGATGATCATGCGGGACGGGGACTCCTCGTCGTACAGCTTGCCCCACTGCTCGATCCATAGGGCGAAGGCCTCGTCCTGCACACACGCGCGCACACACACACCCATACACGTAGGCAAGGTTAGCAGGGCTGCCCTCAGGTCAGGCTCCATGCCCTCAGCGCTCCAAGGGCTCGGAGCTACCTAGCAGGACATTTCCAGGAATAGAACGGACCCACTTCCCGCCCCAGCCAGCAAACAAACATCACGTGTACACGCTGACCCCGGTGAGTCAGTGCAGGGCACGTCTCAGGGGCTGAGTCCCGGGCTCTGGGGGTGTGGCCTTTAGCCACACACTTGGGACCCAGCCAGACTTCCTGCATGGGGTTTTCAAGGTGGCTGGGGCAGGCTAGCATCTGGCTTCTTTACCTTCCAGAACATGAAGCTGATGGGATCCACCACTGTAGGCTGGACGATCTCTCGCCCAGGGAAGATGCCCCAAGTGACGGCATTGGGCTGCAGCTCCGGGGCATTGGTGATGTTTTCACCCTGGGGGTGTGGGGCAGGGGTGAGAGCCGACCTAGGCCAAGGACAGCTGCAGTCCTCTCGTGCCTGGAGAGCCTTGGCTCACTGTGATCATCTATGTTCAGTACCCTCTACCCAGACCCCACTGCCCCACCTTCTGGGCCCACAGGCTGGGACCCAGAGGTCCTCCTGGGTGCTCCTTTTCTCCTCACTGTGCGCCCATCTGCCCCACATCCAGTTGATTTAACTCAGATCTGTTCCCTCTTGTCTAGCCTGCTCCGGGTCGGGGTCCTCCCTGGGTTAACGAAAGGAGTCTTTGCTGGCCTCCCCTGCCCCTAGTATCTGCACAGCTGCCCACTGTGATCTGCCCGAAATAAAACAGAACCCAGCCACTCCACTGCTGGGGAAAGGCTCCCCTCGCCCTTAGGGAAAACCCGAATTCCAAGCAAGACAATTGAGCCTTGCTGACCTGCTGGCCCCTGCTTAACACTCCCCCACCCTTCCCAGCTTCTTGGCAGAGGTGTGGCTCCCTCCGTGTGTGCACGTCCCCTGCCCTTTCTGGGGAGTGCCCTTCTCCCTGCAGGCACACTCCTCTCAGTCCTTAAAGATTCAGACCACACGTGATCTCTCCAAAAAGCCTTCCCTGACCACCCAGGTTAGCTGTCCCTCCTCTGGACCCTACGGCATACCACACTGAGCTTGATTTTCCTATCACACTGGCTGGCAAGTATCCATTTATTTGTCTCCCTCACTAGGCCGGGCGCTCTTTGAGAGCAGGGACCGGTTTTGTCTGTCTGTGTCTTGCACCACACCTGGCCTGGGCGAGGTGCTGGGCGATTGCTGACTGAAGAATAAATGTGGGCGCTCCCGGGAGCCGCCTACCTTCACGTCGACGATGTGGTAATTAACCCGCAGCTCGTACTTCTTCAGCACCTGCAGAAGCGCTTCTGCGGTCTCTCGGGAAGTGAAGAACTCTAAGTAGGCCTGTGGGAGACAGGCGCCTGTCACGTCAACCCCAGTTCCTTGCCAGACACCCTTTCACAGACACACACGGCAGGACACCTAAGGCACTGGGACTAGTGGTGGCCACATAGATCGAGCGCAAATCGTGGAGCTGCCTAATACACAGCGAGGGCTGAGGGCAGCAGGTGCAGGGGCTTTTCTGTCTGGCCGGTGTGAGGGTGTCTGCCACCTCCCAGTCTGTCAGGGGTGGCTGCACGGAGAAACCACTGCAGGAGCTGCACAGGGACATCCGGTGTGACAAGGTAAGGCATGGGAGAGGCCCAACACGTCTATCCTCTCCAGTGACTAGTGATGACAATGACAGTGACATCTCCTCTAGCACCAGTGCCTACTGGAGATTAAGCTGCGTTTATTTAAATGGATTTGCTATCATGCTCATAACACTGCAAGGTGGGCACGAGGAGGAGAGCAGGTTCCAGTCGGCCACCCTGACAGAAGGCAGCAGGGCTGGGACTTACTCCCAGGTCTTTCTGGCTCCAGAGCCCACGGAGCCAGGAGGAAGGTGTCACTCAGTACAGTAACAACAGGTCCATTTGGTGAATGCTTCCTAAGTTCCTCCCGTGTGTCAAGCACTGTGCACACTGTTTCAGCCCCAGAATTTGTGTGACGTTGCACTTTACTGAAAAGACACTTGCCTGCCCAGGTCTGTCTGATTCCGAGCGTAAACCCCTGTCTGCTCTGATCCATTGTTACTCAAAATTAAGAGCCTGGGAGAGAAACGCTGCTCTGTCCCACTCTCTGGGGAACTCTGGGTGCCGGCCAAGGTGGGGTAGCCCTACGCATCCAGATCACACCTTCTGGAAGACGTAGCCCCCACTGGGGCCCCAGCCCACAACGGGGTCAGAGGACGGCTTCCCGTTGATGTTGGGCTGTGAGTTGATGGTGAGGATGCCCTGCCGGTTCACTCGGAGCAGCTCCTCCTTCATCAGGCTGGTCTCGGCCGCCAAGGGCTCGTCATTCCAGGGCAGGCAAGTCACCTGCGGGACAGAGTGCGCTGGGCTGCGGTGAAGGTTAGCTCTGGTCCCCTGGGTCCTTGCCTCCCACGGTCCCCGTCAGAGACCCAGCCCGTCTCTGCCTCCACAAGCCCCTTCCAGGTGGGCATTCCCAGCTCATCTTCCTCCCCTGGCTGCGGTGCCACGTCCACGACACGGAGAGAAGGCGACTCAGGCTGGGAAGTGACAGCCCCACGGCCTGGCCCACGGCTGGAGTCAGGGCGGGGGATGGGACCAGGGACCGCAGCCCGGCACCACTCACCTTATGGCCGTTCTGGTTTGGCTCTCCCGAGAGGTAGCGCACAAAGACGTCAAAGACGCTTTCTTCACTGCTCAGCTCCTCCCCCCACATCTTCAGCAACTCTTCCTTGGGGGACTTGCTTTTCAGGTAGAAGAGGTAGTAGTCCTTCAGCTCCCCAAAGGCTGGAGAGGAGGAATTGCCCCTGACAGAGGAGGTACCCAGAGGTCAGGGGTCGCTCTGGACCCTGGGCTCCTGACAGGGCAGTTGTCGCCACAGACCCAGGAGGACAGTCTTGTAAATCCTGCCCCTGACCCCCACCCAGGGCTTGACCACAAGCACGCAGTCTCCTTCTGCCCCTTCCTCCCAAAAACTAGGATATGAATGCAAGGCATGTCTGCAGGCCTCACCAGCGGCCGTTGGGGAACTCGTCCCACTCCTGGGTGCGGTAGATGTAACTCTTTGGCCTGGAGGCCCAGAAGATGGGACGTACGTCTTCCTCCCGGCGCTTGGGGTGGGCACTGACAGCCCAGGGCAGGGGACGCCTGGGGGAGGATGGAAACAGAGAGACAAGGCATTGGTTCGAGGGAGCCCCAGGGAGCCTGGGCCGCTCCAGCTGACTCCTTCTGAGATTGGAGCCCTTGGCGTGGCCAGCCAGCCACAGCACAGGCATCCCTCTGTGCCACCGTGAGGGCCAGCACTGCGAGGACCTTCCTCTGGGG